TGAAAGTATAAAAAAAAAACAGCAAGAATGACAAAAACACTTGAAGCAACTTACAGAACATCTGGTGAGGCTCCCAGCTGCAGCAGCAGTTTCACAATGGCGGAATGTCCATTCCTGACGGCGTCATGAAGTGGAGAATCGTTTTCATAGCCAGGTGTGTTCAGAAGGGCTCCCCTTGTGACCAACACCTCCACAACCATAAGGTGACCCAGGTTACATGCTTCATGCTAGAATAAAAAGCAACAACACGGGCTTTACAATGTATTCAGCTCTGCTTGAATCTGGGTTTTCTCTCTTATTCTTAGAATGGATTCTAAACTTGTTTTCAATCAACTGTAATATTGATCTTTCCAGATTTTTCTGATTTATTAAGGAAGATGTTTCAAAGAGTTCAAAAGAATCTGATTATCTGTATGTTAACATTTTTTTATTCAATGTGTGCTTTCTCCTTGTGAATAATATATGAGATAGTAAAACAACTTTATAACTGCAAAATGGAACAAAGAAAAAACAGATGAGTTTAAAGGAGAACTTAGAGCTGGATAAAGAGAATTAAAGTATAACTTTGCCAAAATGTCAGTGGATCAAGTATCTAAGTAAGTACAGTGTGCAGTATTATCATAGGTAGTGCAAAGATTACAATTAGAAAAGCAGAAAAAAAACATGGTGCCATATAAAAATACATTGTGTTAAAAATATGGACAAAAGAGCATATAAAGACAAAAAGCAAAGAGTATAAAAAAAAAGAAATATGTAAAGCATGAAGGGCCCGTAAGAAGAAACGTAGCAATGAACTGAGGAGCATGAACCCAAAGCTTTACTGAAAGATGTTGAATGAATATGACAAAGATAACCAGCGCAGCCCAATTCTGCTTAAAGGTGTTTTATGAGCATCCTAAAATTATTATTTAAAGATGACCTCACCAGCAATATTTTGGGCACCAGCAAACCAGAAATTAATTTAACAAAGTTAAAATTCAGCTTAAGGGACTTCATTCACGAATCAGAGTAAGACAGAACCGCACACTTTATAAATATACTAGCTGTGATCTTTTAAATTAATTGGGCAGCTGAGAATTTTATTGGGAGTTTTTCCTTCAGCTTTATTTAGACAGTCTAAGCAGCAGACATCATGCTGGTTAGCCAAGGGCTGTGCAGTCGCTCCCTTCCAACAACTGTGTGAACACCATTCATCAGTGACATCAATCAGAAAATATTAACAAGAATATGAAGCTGATGGAAATTGGAACTTGCCCCTCTTCATTTCCAAGCAATACAAACTAAGAATGGGGTTGTGTGGCAAATGTTTATGTTGGGATTCTCCCAACTTTCTTTAGTGCTGACCATATGCAACAGTTTTTTTGCTCACTTTGATAAAAAAAAAATAAGCACAATTTTTTTGGGCAAAGCTAGCACGCATATAAAAGGAGGTTCTTATAGTGACTGACTCATTCAGGATTCGAGGCCTTGATTTCTGGTATTTTCCCAGCTAATGACAAGTCAAAGTAGAGTCTTTGTGGCTATGTTTCACAATGATGTGATCAGTACAGGCTGCTTAATTGTATTTTTAAATGACCCAACAGACTATTTGTTGCAGCTGAAGAAAGGCTTAATGCACAGTGAGAACTAATCAGACAGGAAAACTAAACTTGCATACATACTCAATGAAAGCCGCACATCATGCATGTTGGTTTGTCAGGGAAGACAAACAGTATGTTAGAGGGCTGTCTATATTTTTGTCCTCCCCAACTACATGAGAGGGTCAGAATATTAGGAACTCTTCTGACCTTTAAATATGACCTCAATAATAAACCTATCATTTTGTTTATACATTTATGGCAGTTTCACCAAAAACTGAAACATCCTGAGCTTCGTAAACACAAATGTTAAGGTAGAAGTGCTGCAGTGAACTGCATACAATTGTAGAGGTGTATCTAAGAAAATGGTCAGTGAGTGCATGTTTCCCTTACACTTTCTGTGCTTTTGATGGGCTGAACTTTCAACTGCTGTACCTTTGATCCAGTGAGTAGGGACAAAAGTAAAAGTGCAATTACTTTGGGGTGGTACACTGTCCATGGATACTAGCAGATGACATTTCTAAGTGTCCTCAAGAGAAATGTGATCAGAGAAGATACATTCATTCTCACACAATCAGAGTAAAAGTAAAAAGTGGTACTTTCAACATGGATCTCCTTTATGTATTACCTCACCTCAATGGTAAATGGACTTGGACTTGTATAGCGCTTTTCTATACACTGAAGCACACTCAAAGCATTTTCACTATTTGCCCATTTACGCTCCCAGGCATACACACACACACACACACACACACACACACACACTGTTGACACCACTGGGAGTAACTTGGTCTTGGTCAAGGACACTTCAACATGTGGACTGGAGGCGTCATAAATCAAATTTACATGGCAAACTGAAAAATCACATGTGCCTTGTTTTGTTAGTTAATTTGTGTTTCATTTATTTAGGCATATTAATTCAACATTTTCTTATCTAATGCTTTCTTCTGCCTTATTACCACATTGTGTACAGTAGCCTAAATTAATCAAAACTGGCAGGGGAGGCTTTAAACAAGAAAACTCTTAAAGTTGCCAATAAAACACTAGAGCAAATAGTTTTTCTTAACATAAACTCCAAAGAGGGCCATTCACCCTAAAGACAGTTCTTTCAAACTTAAATTTTTATGCATAGAAGATTTACGATTGTCACAATTTATTTACATACTGCTACTATGAAAATGTTTTTAAAAAATGCATCTCCCAAATTGTTCATGTTTTGAGTCTTTCTGTTGTATTTACATGCATTTGGCCAGCAGGTGTCACTAACCAGGGATGATTTAAATGTTTCAAAACAACAAACCATTTTCCGAAGCAACTGGTTCAAAGCTACTTGAGCCGGTGAGTCAAAAAGTTAATTCTGGACCCCGTAAATGTACCACTTGGTGTATTAGTCTTACCAGAGGTGTCCACCCAGCATTATCCTTGAGGTTAGGGTCAGCCCCCTGGTCCAGCAGCTCCTTGACAGCCTCTACATCTCCCTGCAAGTTCCAGAAATGGCAACAAAACTGAGGTCAGAATTACAGTTTCAATTGTAAATGCAGTGCAACAAACACAACAGCTGATCCCACTGTTTATCAATCATGCTCCACAGCGAGCCATTGATTACTTTGTCTGAGATCCAGAGGGATTAGGGCTGTTTACCAGGATTACTGTAAACCAGTTTATTCACATCAGACTTCAACATGGATATCTGATCATTCATTCATTATTTATACCACTTATCCTGAAGAGGGTCACAGGGGAGGCTGAAGAGAATCCCAGCTGACATTGTGTGAGATATGTATATATACATCCAGTGTCATCGTTGAAGTGGAAATTCCCTCCGGGCCAAAGGGGAAGTATTGAGCAAATTGCTACTTGGCACACCAAAATGAGGAGAAGACGATGATAAACTAATGCGGGCTGTGGCTACCTTCTATAATGCACACTGGCTGACAAAACATTAAACATAATAAAATAAAAACAACGGCTTGAGTTGAAGAGTCTGCGTTCTGATGGTCTCTCAACTAATAATTCAATTAGTCGACTTTCAGGGAGCAGTGCTGCATCCATCCATCCATCCATTTTCTATATCGCTCAGTCTCAAAGGGGGTCACGGGGGGCTGGAGCCAATCCCAGTTAGCTGCGGGTACACCCTGGACAGGTCGCCAGTCCATCGCAGGGCTAACACACAGACAAACAACCACTCATACACACAATCACTCCTACGGGCAATTTAGAGACACCAATCAACCTAAGCTGCATGTCTTTGGACAGTGGGAGGAAGCCGGAGCACCCAAAGAGAACCCACGCAAGCATGGGGAGAACATGCAAACTGCGCACAGAAAGGCCCTGGGTTGGCCGGGGCTCGAACCCGGAACCTTCTTGCTGGGAGGCAACAGCGCTAACCACCGTGCTGCAATTTTTATTAATTTCATTTACATTTCTATTTGTTTAGGACTTAAATACCCAAGTAATTTAGGATGTAGTGCAAAAATTCTGCAGCTTATTTTAATTGTATAAATAAGAAACAATATGCATATATATTTTAATGCTGTCATTCTATTGCAAAAAAGTTTGCATTTATAAAAAGCAAGAATGTATGGAGTCAAGTAATTAAGTTGAATTATTCAAAAACGTGTGTACCTTTATAGCAGCAAGATGCAGCAGGGTCTCTCCCTTGTGGTTCCTCTTCATAACTGCGGGACTTCCTGGACTGGACCGTCCAACACAGGCACCACGAGTACAGGGAGATTTTCCACCAACAGTGGCGAGGACACAGGTGCTGTCTCCTGGCTCTTCTCTGGAGCTTTTGATGCTCTTATCAAACCTGGGACTAGTCAAAGACAGAGGGTTGGGGACAACTGGAGACATCTGACCAAGTGATTTTCTTCTCTGTCCAGGAGAAGCCCTGGGCCTCTTTGGTGTGTTCTCTAAAGTGCTGACTTTCTCACCCACCATGGATCTTTGTGAGAAATGATTTTGGGGAGAGACAGCAACCTGCTTTTCAGGATCTTCAGTTATATTATTTGCAAAAAGTGTGTTTTCCTGGATAACACTGACTGACATATTTTGACCAGGCAAGGCTTGGTAATTCACTTCAGTGGTGCTGCCTATTGAGAAGCTCTCCCTTATGGTGGTCCTGCCAGGGCTGAGTTCGTTAGTACTGCCTTGTGGTACGTCAGGTTCAGGCTTGTCAGAGGTGTCAGCAAGGCTTAGAAAGGAAACCCTTTTACTGGATCTCCTTGCCCTTTCAGCACAGGCATGGTCCTTTACTGTCAAGGCATCTGTCTCCTCTGTGATCCCCCATTTCTGATTTATAGCCTCCAGCCTCCTCTTCTTAATGTTATCCTTGGTCTGTTTTCGGGTGGTCCTAGTGGTAGCTTGTACCAACATCTTCCTGCTGCCAGCATTTTTCTTAGCTGACCTGTTCCTCTTTCTACTGTTGCATTTTTGAGGAGAAGAAGAAGAGCAATAGTCTTGGGAGGACAAGGTGAAATTAAAACGTGACAGATCCTGCTGTTGTGCAGTAATGGTGTCTGGCTGTGTTGCAGCTGTTTCTCCAGAAGACCTGCTGTCCTTTACAATGCCCGCTGAAGGCTTCTCCAGTGTGCAGCGTACCTTGCGGCTGCGGGGGCTAAACCAAATTTTGAAGTTCTTCTTGTGTTTTATGACAGACCTCTCAGGTTGTGTTTGAATCTCAGCTACAGGGGATTCTGTGGTGAGGGGTGAAAAACAAAAAAATACACATTTAACAAAATAAAATTTCTATCATTTATTTTGTTAATACTATAATTGTGAACTGCTGTCAAAATGTCTTTGTATTTGTAAAAACATTACACTGACCACTGAAACAAAAGCAGAATAACACCAAACTCTCAATTATACTGATACTTGACAGAAGTAGAGAGGCATCCACTCAACTTCCTAAACCTTTGTGTAAATTTAGACACCAGAACAACCTGTAGGTTTGTATACTGTACATATTAACTACATGGCTTAGAAAGATGCCCAGAGTGTTGGATGGACAATAAAATAAAATATTTTACAGAAACAAGCCACTATCGTCATTTAGTGATTAAACTGGTGGAGAAACATTTTAAACATCAGTCATCATGGAATATATTAGAATATATTAATATATTATTATTGGAATATATTAAATAAATTGATTAGAAACAGTTCCAGCAAGAGTAACTACCCTCAATATTTTATGGATAATGATACACCGGTCAATAGATTGGAGGATGTAGTAGATAAGTTTAATAGGTTCTTTGTGAATGTTGGTCCTGGCTTAGCAAGAAGCATTTGTAGAGATGATACATCGTCACTATAAATAATAATATAATCGAAAGGAACATGAGTTCTGTGTTTTTGAAGCCCATAGTTGAAAAGGAAATTATAGAGATAGTGAATAAATGTGGTAACAAAACATCTAGTGATAGTGATGGTATCACTATGACAACTGTTAAATGGGTAATTGAGGGGATATGCAAACCATTAACCCATATTTTTAACATGTCGTTTCGACTTGGGCAGTTCCCCAATAATATGAAAATAGCAAAGGTTATTCCACTGTATAAATCTGGTGATAAGCACAACTTCACAAATTATAGACCGGTTTCTCTGTTGTCACAATTTTCAAAAATTCTGGAAAAACTCTTTAATAACAGATTAGA